TTCCATTCAGTTGCTTTCAAATTTTCTGATGTCATTCGTGTTAACAGGTGAGTAATGCTCCATTGTGTAAATGTACCATATTCTCTTCATCTTTCTTCACTTGAGGAGTATCTAGGCTGTTTCCAGGCCCATTATTAGGAATAATGCTGCTGTGAACATAGTTTATCAAGTGTCCTGTGGAATTATTTAATATCCTTTGAATATATATCCAAGAATGGTATAGTTGGGTTTTGACGTAGATCCACTCCCAATTTTCTAAGAAACCACCATATTGATTTCCAAAGAGTACAAGATTGCACTCCCACCAGCAGTGGAGGAGTATTCTTTTTGTTCCACATCCTCTCTGTACAAGCTGTCATTCATGGTTTTTTTTCTTAGCCTCTGATGTAATCTCAACGTCATTTTGATTTGCATTTCCCTGATGGCTAAGAACGTAGAACTTTTAGCTATTTGAGATTCTTCTGTTGATAATTCTCTGTTTAGACCTGCACCTGGAATATGGGTTTTTTATGTCTAGTTTCTTGAGTTATTAATATATTTTAGAGATTAGTCCTCTGTGAGATATGGGGTTGGTGAAGATATTTTCCCATTTCTGCAGGCTGCTGTTTATTCTTATTGACAGATTACTAATTCTTTTTATTGTTCTTTTTGTTTCTCTTTCATTGATTTGATCCCTGTTTGATTATTTATTTCCTTCTAAGGTGTGATGACTGATTTTCATTTTAGACCTTTTAGGTGAACTGTTAAATTGCTAATATGAGATCTGTCCAATTTATTTTTGTAGGTAGTTAGTGCTATGAACATTCCTCTCAGCATGATTTTCATTGTGATCTGTAAGTTGGATATGTTGTGTATTCATTTCATTGAATTCTAGAGAGTCTTTCATTTTTTTTCTTGATCCAGTTATCAATCAGTAGAGAGTTGTTCAGTTTCTATGAGTTGTAGACTTTCTGTTGTTACTATTGTTGAAATCCAGCCTTAATCTGTGGTATTCTAATTGGATGCATGGATTAGTTCACTTTTCTTGTTTCTGTTAGGACTTGCTGTATGACCTAGTATTTGGTCAGTTTTAGATAAAATTCCATGAAGTGCTGAGAAGAAGTTGTATTCTTTTGTGTTTGAGTGAAATAATTTGTAGATATCTGTTAGGTCCATTTGGTTTATAACATCTGTTAGTTCCAGTATTTCTTAGTTTACTGTCTGTCTAGATAACCTGTTCATTCCCGAGAGTTGGGTATTGAAGTCTCCCCCTATCAATATGTCCTTACATATTGATGTGTGTTTTAAGCTTAATAATACTTCTTTTATGAACGCGAATACCCTTACATCTGGGGAACAGATGTTAAGAATTGAAAATTTTCATGTTGAACGTTTCCTTTGATGACTATGAAATGCCCTTCTTCTCCATCTCTTTTCATTAATAATAATTTGAAGTATATTTTGTTAGATATTAGAATGGCTACAACAGCTTGCTTTATAGGTCTATTATTTGCCTCAAAAATCTTTTTTCAACCATTTACTCTGAGGTAATATCTGTTTTTGACACTGAGGTGTATTTCTTGTTTGCAGCAAAGGTTGAATCCTGTTCTCACATCCATTCTGTTAGTCTGTATCTTTTCCTTAGGTAGTTGATTCCACTGCAATTTAGAGAGATCAATAACCAATCATTATTAGTTACTTTTATTTTGTTGTTGTTGGTGGTGGTGTTTGTGGTGGTGGTGGTGTTTGTGGTGGTGTTTGTGGTGGTGGTGTTTGTGGTGGTGGTAGTGGTGGTGGTGTTTGTGGTGGAGGTGGAGGTGTATGTGGTGGTGGTGGTGGTGTTGTGGTGGTGGTGTTTGTGGTGGTGGTGGTGTTTGTGGTGGTGGTGGTGGGTGGCGGTGGTAGCATGTGCACTCATTCTTTTCCCTTGCAACTTTTAGTATTTTTTCTTTGTTTTGTAAATCTAGTGTTTTGGTTATTATAGAGCAACGGGACTTTCTTTTTAGGTTGAGTCTATTTGGTGTTCTGTATGCTTCTTGTACCTTTGTAGGCATCTCCTTCTTTAGGTTAAAAGGTCTTTCTTCTATGATTAGGTTGAAAACATGTTCTGCGTCTTTGACCTGGGATTCTTCTCTTTCTAGTTTTCTTAGGTTTGGTCTTTCATAAAATCCCAATTTTCTGGAAGTTTTGTCAGCAACATTTTAGATTTAGCATTTTCTTTGACCAATGTGTCTATTTCATCTCTCAAATCTCCAGTACCTGAGGTTTTCTGTTCCATCTCTTGTATTCTGTGGATGAAACCTGTCTCTTTAGCTCTTGTTCACATACCAAGGTTTTTCATTTTCAGAGAAACATACCTTTAGACTGAACAAGTCTCATGAACTTCTCAGCACTCATGAAACTAACAAAGTAACTACTGTTCAGTTCCGTATTCATATGTTTAATTTCTTAATAAAACACTGGGGAAAATTGTCATATCTCCTAGTTATCAAATATTAAGAACTGATTTTAGATAATATATCATGCTAAATGCTTACATATTAAATTATGAAAACTATTAGCATGCATTCACAAGTTTTCTTTTTATCAAGATATACTCCCAAGGTTCATCATTTCAATCATTCTTAATAATGAGGCCCAAATAAATAACAATAAGTACAGTATTAAAAATATTATTTTGGACAAATTTAATATATATGTAAATCAAAAAATACAAAACATGTAGAATATTGCAAGCTAATTATGTATTTGTGTATTTGTTAATAAAAATTTTCTACAATACTGCAAAATCCTTGAGGCATGATATCAAGTCCAAGTAACTAAATAAAAAGTCCTGAGTAGATAACTGAATGAGAAAATAAACAAGAGAAAGAATGAATGAGTTACCTAATATTGTAAGCCAATGTTCAGTCCACAAAGTTTCATATCAACATTGTCCTCTAATCTACAAAATCACATAATGCATGAATGTAACTGAACGGACACATACACACAATCATGTAACTTCAAAGGTAATTTTTAAAAATTGTTATGTTTAATGAATCAGACAAGCAAATAAACCATCAAAAAACCCTTAAAATGATCCTTATCTTGACAGCAGCGGAACATTTACCAGGGCTTCAACTCCTCCGAGAGTTAGATTTTAATGAATGTTTCGGTATCAAAAAGTATCATTTAAAAAGTGACTACACCAAATGAAAATATTCACAATCTTTGTCCTCCTCAGAAAATATAATTCTATGTTAACTTAGGTAGGTTTACAAGATACAACTTCGTAGTATGTTGAATAATTGCACCAGAATGAGTACAAGGACTTGGGAGATGGATCTCAGTTCATCATTTTTGCTTCCTGAAGAGCACTTGTGACATGGTGTTCATCATTTAGGATCAATAGGGAGATCAGGCCTCCATGAGAAATATGTCTGTTGGCCTTAATAAATCTTGACTGTATAAATACAGAAATATTTGTACAGGCAATTTTCTGCTGAATTACATTTCCTGTTCATATTTTTGTACCACGTATGATTTCTAACAACAAAACCAACGGCTTGATGGGGTAGTGTCTTTCACAGAGGAATGCTTTAGTTACTTCACTCTAGTTATTTTTATATCTGGTAGTTTAATCATCATAGTTAATCTCTTTATGGATCTCAAAACATTATCAGCAAGGTGAGTTATATATTAAAGCATTTTTAATTCAGGATGGATTCACACCAAAAGAATGATTAGATTTGAAAATATTAAAGTATGTTAGTAAATTATAGTTTTTGAAGCATCTAGAGCAAATTTCTTTTAGTTTTCATTACATTTTACTTATTTTCTCCATGTGTGTGCATGTGCAAATGCCCATGCCGTAGTGCATGTGTAGAGGTCAGAAGACAACCACAGGTGTGGTTCCTCTGGCATCCACTCTCTTTCTCTCTCTCTCTCTCTCTCTCTCTCTCTCTCCCTCTTCTTTCTCTCATTTTTTCTTTGTTTCCTTCCTTCTTTTCTTCCTTCTTTCCTTCCTTTTTTCTTTCCTTCTCTTTCTTCTTAACATTTTTTATTTTATTTAATTAACATTTTTTCATTTATTTTACATACCAACCACAGTATCAACTCTCTCTTCTCCTCCAGTTTCCCATCTTCCCACCTCCCCATATTGTCTTCATTCAGAAAGGGGGAGGACCCCTGTGGGCTTGAAAAAAGCAATAGCACATCAAGTTGAGGCAAGACTGAACTCCTCCCTCTCCATCAAGTCTGGGCAAGGTAGTGCAGCATGTGGGGGGGGGGCAGGTCCCTAAAAGTCTAAGCACCAGGGACAGGTCCTGAACTCACTGTTAGGAGCCCCACAAAGAGACCAAGCTACGCAAGTCTCACACATTTGCAGAGGGCATAGGATGGTCCAAATGCAGGCTCCGAAAGTGTTGGTCCAGAGTCTATGAGCTCCAATGACCTTAGGTCAGCTGTCTCTATGGGAAATATGATCTCTCACTGGAGCTAGGGATCCCTGCTGCTCAGTCTAGGCTACAAGGCCCAAGATCCTCTTGTCTCTGCCCCCTAGTAATTGGATTGTAACTGGTCACCACCAAGCCTGGCTTTCAACTGGGATTCTTAGGATGGAACATGGGGCCCCTGTTTGTGTGGTAAATACTTCACAAACTGGGCCATCACCAGTCCTATTGTCTCCCATTATTTAATGTTTTCTCTGAGTGTCCACACCCAAATTCTATAGACACAAGTATCTACCCATGTGAGCCCAGGGCCAGACAAAAGGCAGGCACACTCAGGCAAATCACACATCACTCTTTGTAAATGAAGAAGAAGGAAATAAACCCAAATCCCAGCACCCAGAAGAAACTGAGCATATCCTAGGAGCATGTTGGTGTCAAAACACACATTTTATTTATGATTTTGGATTTTTCTATTTTATGTGTTAAAGTGCTTTGAGTATTTAAAAAAATACTCAAATATTTTAAAAGTTGTAACAGTTCTGAATGATTTTAAGTATATATACACATTCATACATTTCTTTCTTCTAGAAACTTCAAGAAGAGTCACTGGCAGAAAACTTGCGATTGGCCAAAGAGTATCAAAGGATGCAGGCGATTTTCTTGAAGGAGAAGGAAGCCTTCTTCAATGGCTATGACAGACTGCTGTCACTCAATTTTTCAGTCTGTGACAAGAAAAAGGTATTATTTTTTTTTAAATAAAATACCTTAAGTGAGTCATCCAAAATGTAAACATAGCCAGTGTGGTGTGTCATCAATAGGAGACTACTTATTATAGCATAAAAATGGTATGGTTTCTTTTTCTTAAATTTTATTGTAATATAGTAATAATGATGTGAAATTACATAATTAAATAATATCAATGTTAGGAATTGAATTTTGAAAAATATTTAAGACCCAAAATTCTCAGTTTGTGATCCTTTTGCAATGTTTATTTGCATTTAGTTATTGTTACCATAAATCATAATTAATTTCTTAGTTTGCAGATATACATTTGCTATTGTAAAGTTGGGTTTTAATTCTAATTGTATATGACTTTGTACAATGGGTCTCTAAATCTTCTTTTTGATATATATTCCCCAAATTCACGTTCTTATTATTTTGCTCAGTATGAAGATCCTTTAGACGTTTGCAGTTACTGCTGAATACCCACTCCACCCCTGTTACTGGGAATGGCAGGAAATCCTACTTCTGTGTGTAAAGTCCTATGTTTTGGTAAAAGGAAAAAGGAAAATCATGTGAATGAAAAGAAGGAAAGATCTTCCATGAGATGAAAAGGGGAAAGAAAGCTATACTATGGGGGTGCCACAATATAGCCACTTTCTCCCTAGACACTTAGAGACAATATAAGATGGTTTCCCTTTGAACCTTTCTCCTCAGAATTCAATTTTTAAAAATTAAAATAATGGTTATTATTTAACAACTGACTTAGCCTTAAAGATTAGAGTTAATGCATCTCTTCTATTGACATCACCCATACTGGTGTGCTATGAGTTATGGTTTAGAAGTTCAGTTCTACACTCATTTCTGTTACAGAGTTGTAAGGAAGGCAAAAGCCTCGGTCTGTAGTAAAAATTTCATTGAACAGTATGGAAATGATCCTTTGAAAGTTATTTGCTCTTTTGAATCTCAATTTTCTCAACTATAAATTAAAATTACTTCACAAGATAATATATTATGAATAAAATAAAAGAGAAATCATAGCAAATCATTCTTAAAACAAAATGAAGCTATGTTGCTGAAATTTGTTTGCGTTTGTGAATGTTCTTGTTTCTCATGCATCTGATCAGATGGATGTTAAAGCTTCTATGTGCCCTGTGTGACATTTAGAAGGACCTCTTTAGAAGTATGTTCAAAACCTGGCAGTGGGGGCACACACCCTTAATCCCAGTACTTGGGAGGCAGAGGCAGGCAGATCTCTGTGAGTTCAAGGCTCATTTCATCTACAGAGTTATAGTGGCAATTCAATTGTATTTTAATAAATAAAGACTGTCTGAAGATCTGAGAATAAAACAGTCCCACTGGTCAGCCTTACAGGCCAGGTTATGTTAACACACACCTTTAATCATGGTAGCCAAAAAGGCACACATCTTTAATCCCAGTAGTTATACTAGTTGCCATAGAAACCAGGTAGTGCATGCCTGTAATCTCAGCCCTAGAGAAGATTACAAAATGGGAAGAAACAATTCTCAACACAGTCTCATTCTGAGATTCCTGGAGGCAGGATCGCCATTTTCGAACTGAGGTCAAGGTAAGAGCCAGTGGCTGGTTGTTTCTTTTGGGATCTTCAGGTTGACCCCCAATTTCTGACCCTGAGTTTTTATTAATCATGCTTCATTTAGTCGTGTTTCACAGAGTGAGTCCAGAACAGCCAGAATTATTTCACAGAGAAATCCTGTCATGGGGGGTGGGGGGGGGGGGGACAGAAAAGAAAGAAGTATAGTTAAGAGGATCAAGAGAGATGGTTGAAAAATAATATCTTTGGGGAAGACCTTTGACTTAATTTAGGTTTCTATGGCTGTGAAGAGAGGTTTCTATGGCTGTGAAGAGACACAATGACCATGACAAGTCTTATAAAGAAAAACATTTAATAGGGATTGGCTTACAGTTTCAGAGGTTTAGTCTATTATTGTCAAGTCAGGAAGTATGGCAGTGTGCAGCTGTCTCACTTTGTACTCTCTCCCTCCATCTTTTCCCCCAACCCACCAAATCCTCCTTATTCCTGTCTCGACCTGCCTGTCCCAGTCTACTTGCAAAATTTATTCTATTTTTTCCTTCCAAGGGAAGGCCATGTGTTCCTGCTAAAGCCCTCCACTTTATCTAATCATTCTGAGTCTGTGAATTGTAGCTTATTGTGATTTATTTAACAATGAATATCTGCATATAAGTGAATACATGCCATATTTGTCCTTCTGGGTTAGGCTTACCTTACTCAGAATGATTTTTTTCTAGTTGCATCCATTTGCCTGAAATTTAATGGTGTAATTTTCTTACAGGGAAGTAATACTCCATTGTGGAAATGTAGCACATTTTCTTTATCCGTTTTTCAATGGAGGGACATCTATGTTGATTCCCATTTTGCATAAAGCTGCAATAGGCGTAGTTGAGCGAGTGTCTTTGTGGTGTGATTGAGCATCCTTTAGGTATATGCTCAAAAGCAGTACAGCTGGCTAGTGAGGTAGATGATTCCCATATTGATTTCCGTAATGGATGTAAAAGTTTGCACTCCCACCAGCAGTGAAGGAAGGAGAGTTCCCCTTGCTCCACATCCTCACCAGCATGAGCTATCACTTGTGTTTTTGATCTTAGCCATTATGACGGGTGTAAGATGGAATCAAAGTAATTTTGATTTACATTTCCCTTGTGGCTAAGGATGTTGAGCATTTTTTTGTTTCTCAGCCACTTGTGATTCCTCTATTGAAAATTCTGTTTAGATATGTGCCCCATTAATTGTATTATTTGGTTTTTTATATCTAGCTTCTTGAATTCTTCATATACTTTGAATAGAAGACATCTATTGGATCTGCAGTTGGTAAAAATCTTTTCTGATTCTGTAGATTTTTCCAATTGATGGTGTCTTTTGCCTTACAGAAATTTTTCAGTTTCATGAGGTCGCATTTTTTATTTGTGGACCTTAGTGTCAGTGCTGTTGGTGTTCTATTAAAGAATTTGTCTCCTGTGCTAATGAGTTGAAGACTATTCCCCATTTTGCTTCTATCAGAGTCAGTGCTTTTTGTTTTATGTGGATGCCTTTGTTGTTCTTTAGAAGGGGGTATTTTAGAAGTACATTTTAGAGATACGCTCTTTAGAAGAATGCTCTTTAGAAGACCCTCTTTTCAAGGGTTCTGTTTAGAAGACTCTCCTTTACAAATTTGCATTGAAATAGTAGTTAATGGTGGCAGATAAAGAAATGTGGGTTTGGAAAAGATTTGAAAACACAACCATTTGACCATGTCCTAGTGTTCTCAAAGCATACATCAGAATTAGATCTTTCTGTGTAGATAGAGCATTTTTCAATCCTTTCATGCATTTTTGCATTGCTATTTGTATCAAGTATGTTAGTTGTTAGTCCCTGGGAAGAAGAAAGCAATAGCTTAATATTGTTTGTCTTTCCTTAATCAAGGCTCAAACAAAAAGTGTATGGGCACTTAGACAGTGGTGGGTGGCAAAGAAAACAGTGTGCTGGCTAGGCTTATGCCAAATTAACACAAGCTAGAATCATTTTGGAAGAGGAAACCTCAACCAAAAATTGTCTCCTCCAGATTGGCCATTGGGCAAGCCTGTGGTGCATTTTGAAATTAATGATTGATATGAGAAGGACCAAATCACCTTGAGTGGTGCCACCCCTGTAATGGTGGTCCTGTGTGTTATAAAAAAAAGTAGGTGAACAAGCCATGAGGATAAAGCCAGAAAGCAGCATTCTTTCATGGTTTCTACTTCAGTTCCTGCCTCCAGGTTCCTACCTTGCTTGAGTTCTTTCCCTGTCTTCCCTGGATGATGAGCCTTAGCTCTAAGAAGAAAAAAGCTTGTTTCTCTCCATGTTGCTTTTTTCATGATGTTTTATCGCATCAACAGAAACCCTCAAATACTTAGCATCCTGTTTTTGTAATAAGAACATTCTCCTCATTTCTTTGATCAAATTAAAGCAATTCTTGATACAGAACAGAAGAAGCCAGACTTTGATAAGAACAGGTGGGCAGGGGCCACGCCTGGGCATGGGTTTCCATTGTGATCCCTCAACGACTCACTTTCAGCACATTTGTTTCAGGAAACTTTCAAGATTTATTTGTCCTTTCAGCCATTTTTCATTCCCATCCTTCAACAATGGAGGTCATTAAGTGCAGGCTGCCCTTGTCAGTGGCATGTAGGATCAATTTGCTGCGATGGACAGAGAGGCCGTATTGACGCTGTTAATCTGTCAGTGAGAAATCGTATGTCATTAGTGTCTAACACGCCACACACAGGACGAAATTTGGCCATCGGAAACAAGACAACCCTTTAATATTTTAGTCCATTTCTTTTCTCTAACAGCCTTTCTGATGTGTATGGGGGGACAAGTCCTCTGCTTGTCCTAGTTCGGGGTATAGGAAAGCAAGAGTTAACCATATGAATTCTGCATAAACTTTTTGTTTTCTGATGAATTTCCTTTGCTCTGAACCTGAAATGTCTTTTTTCATGATAAACAATTATATTTTAATAATTATGATTCTTAAGGGATCATATTTTCCCTACGAAGATTGCATATTTTTATACTTCTTTGTACTTGTAGACCAAACATAGCAAAGCCTGATGGAAGAGTAAATCAAATTAAAGATAATGTTTCCTTCCTTAGCATAATTTTGCACAGAGACATTTTGAATGTTAGAGCACTACAGCATTGCTCTCGGTGGTGATATTATATCTATTTATTTGGATATGTTTCTTGATACCCCAGGGTTTTTCAAATTTTCAGTGATGGGTGTTTTCCCCATTTACACCTCAGAAAGAGGCAAAAGCAATTATGCAAAATTCTTATTTGCCCCATTCATGAGTAACAATAGAATCAAATTCAATATAAAACTTCTCAGATGTCAAAATTAAAGCTAATAGTGGATATAAATTAAGAAAAATAAGTTTGGAAAGAAAACAAGTATTGTTTCCATGTGAAACTATTTCCATCACTTTCCTAAGTAGATTTTAGG